AACCTTCAGCTCCAAATTCATGTTCGACGAGTTTAGGGCCAGCTGGGGCCCTAAACTCGTCAAATCCAAAGTTGGAGCCCAAAAGTTCGCGGAGCGCCCCGATCGGACGCTGGCGGCAAAAGCGCGAAGTCATCGTCGTGGTAGTCCAATCGGCCCGCTCGGTGACCTTCGGCCCCTACTTTGGGTTTGACGAGTTTCTTTAGAACCCTTGGAATCCTAGCGAGTCTATTGGGAGATGAAATTCAGCTTTTATATAGTGACTATTTCGAAGTCCACTTTCAAAATAATATTAAATAATATTGTGAAGTCTGTAACGCCACTTCCTAAAGACGTGATTTTTTTTATGTATTTTTTGTGAAGATATTTCTTTCTTCTTAAGTCAAAATCTCAAACTTCGAACCTTGGAGCTTCGGCTACTTCGGCGTTCGATCGGACTGGATAATGTTCGAAAGTGGCGGTCAAACAAACATCATCTTGCTTGCAGGCGGCGTCGCGGTTCAACACGCATCTTCCGAGAACATATCTTGTACTCGACTGTGGTTTTTATAACATTTTAAATAACCTAAAATGAAAAAAAAAAAGTTTTAAAGCACATTGGCTATTAGGCCGCACTTATTGTTTGCTCGGAGATGCCCAATATTACCGAATGCGGCACCAGTACTTTTTATGATTTATTTGTCATGTTTTATATTCACAAAGGAGCTGAATGTTGTGTCATCAAATTTGCGGATGATTGGAAAATGCGCTTACCTCGTACAACCGCGCCAGAACCTTTGTTCGCACCGGTCAAGAAACATCGAAAAGGCAATGTTTGCCTTCCCAACATTTTAGTGATCAACCCGATCGTTTCGGAGTGCGCTCGCTATACACGAACCAAAAATAAAATCTCAACCAAACAACGAACTCACGAAACCCGCTTAAAAACAGGGCGGAAGGCAGATGCAAAGCAAAACTGCAACCATGCAAAGACGCGCTCGCACGATATGGAGGCACACAAAGCGTGCAATATTTGTCAGTGTTACGTAGTGTATGCACTTACATTTGTTACGTACACGCGCCAGAGGGATATCCAGCTCGCCTTTCTTGTAGATTAAATATGTTAAGTGAGACGCGTACCTAAATGATGAGCGCAGAACATCGCCGAGAATCAATTGTCGATTCAGTCCCACACACACGCCTGAATAAGACATTTCTACTGCAAACTAGGACTGAAGGCACGCTACACATGACCCCGCAAACACGTCAACACAACACCAACAACATCACCAGAAACTAAACAGAACGAAACTGATGAAGCCGACGAAACTACAAACCGGCTACCACTCCGATGGCTGCATTGAGGGAGGACGTCGAAATAATAAAGCCACTACAGTATTTTGACGTTCTAGAAAGTGACGTCACAGGGGTCGAAATCTTTTTTGAGATATTTTGACGGTGGACTTCGCAATAGTCACTGCCCTTCTCCTAAGTGACTTAATGAACGAGAGGCATGTCCCTCACAAGTGGGGACTGTAAACACGTGAAAGGATTTTCAATATACTTATAACAAAAGATCAACAACAGGATAGGTGCTAATTGTCTGCAACATCAACTACAATGCTGCCGGGTCGACACTACGTTTTATCGACATTCGTTACACAAACTGCACACTGCAGGCACATTTCCTCGTGGTTTGTATCACTGGGGTGCGTGTTAAACCGTCCGACCCCTGAGCCCCCGACCCCCACATCCAAAACTACCGATCGCGGATCAGATTTATTGCCGCCTCCTTTGATTGTATCTCTGCAACAGAATTATGCAAAGTGCCTAATTCTGACACTTCCTGTGTTCTTCTACATGAAAAGAGTGAGGAAGAAGGGAGCCAACAATATAGTACGCAATCGATCGATGCTTTGAGAAGCAGAGGCAGCAGAAAATCGTTCCGCTCTCTGATGCTTGCTGCGGACAAGATCGCAATTACACACCTTTCTCATTCTGTGCAATCTTGGCGGCTTCATTCCACATTCATGTCATTTACGTGTTTCTCGTCGTGAACATTCATTACAAAACCTGCGACTGAAACTTTGGAACGTATGCCTAAGGTTTGAAGCGAATGGAAGTAGTGGAGTGCCCAAATAAGTGTGTGTCAGCCACTGAGACATCGAGAAAACAACAAATTAGGATGGTTGATGATGGGAGAGAGGCCATTGTACTTGACTATAAAACCGTCCCCCAGAAAGAGGTTCAACGGGGCCCAAAAAATAAGAATTTCTGAGACTTCGTAATCAAGTATGGGCAGAGCTGGGTGAAACTCCACCAGAATTATTTACTGTTGTCACCCTTTCCCCCATCCCGTTTGTTGCAAAACGACTGTGATGGAGATATTTCGTGACACAACAATCCTTCCTTCGTCTCAGAGAATCGGAGTGTCAGCAAGCAAAGCCAAATATGTGAGGGGTCTGCTCGCTACATTTCTGTTGCAGACAGACCGGGTACTATTGACGACGAAAGATTCGATGATCAAATCGAGTAAAAAGACTCAAATACTTTTTTCTGTAATAAAATGAATTGTCTTGTAGATATGTTGAAATAAAGAGACACATATTATGTTTCACTGCAGGTGGTGCCAACAATAATGGAACAAGTTACATTACACTGTGAACCTTACTATTTTACTCCCTGCCACATTTTCAGTGTATGACACAAATTATAAGAAGTAAACGAAGCTTAAAAAAAAAATACTAGCAGCCTTGAGCATACCTAACTATTTTTGCAATTGGAGTTAAACTTCAACTGTTGATTTTCTCGAAACGCCAGTTTTGAACGCATATACCAATATTACACGCAGCCCCTTTGTAAAGTAATTTCCCTACTTATTTACGTAACCGCTGTTTAAGCAGATAATAATTACATAAAGCTCGAGTGATTGAGGTTCTGTATTTTTTTTTACCTGCGTTCATTATTTGTCTTATAACGACCAATCAATCCACCCACGTCCTTTTAAACAACTTGAACGGAACACTGCTATACTCATTTCACCTCAAGAACTGTAGTAAAAAAGTGTCGGGCTCTTTGTCATCTCTTGACGCCTTGTCTTGTCGTCGTGGTTCACTCCGCCCTTGTTTCTTGGCACTTAAATGTACATATTGAACATATATGTAGGTGCATTTTAGATTAGATATATGTTATCTTATGAAGACGTACACGCTTAAAGCTCCAAAAGTTCCTCACACAACCAAATATTGCAAGAACTACTCCGCGCAAAGTAAAAAGAATGCGCAAAACTTGTTCTTTTTTTTTTAACAAGCATAGTTCCTCCTCTTTTTTTTTTTTTCTTTAAAGCCGCGTTTTTGCGAGTTAATTTTTGTTCAGTATTGAATAACACTGCGCTATAAGGCGCACGATGATCTCGGTATATAAACTCTATATTCTTTTCTCACACGCAGACAAAAGATAAAGAATTAAGGTTTGCTCGTTAGGCGCCAGTATGAAATTTTTAGGCGCAGTTTAACGGGAACGAGATGTGAGTACATTATTTATCTTTCTCATAAATATGCGTATAATATAGGACTGAATAATTAATTGCGATGAATCGGAGAATCATATCCCAATCAGGCGCCGTAATGTACAATTCGCAATAATCTTATGCTCTCAAGCTTAAAAAAAAAAGCATATACTGTGGAGAAATGAGCAAAATATGATAAATATTTTTAGTAATGGTCGATTTTATTGAGTCTATTGTTTGAGTTTGGCGTTGTGTTTCATTCATTAAAGACGCCGTAAAAAAAAAATTGATCGAACCGATTTTCATTTTGCTTAAATTATTTTATTAATGTACAAAATAATATCGGCGAAATACCGCCACCATATCCTCGCTATTCGCGTTGAGTTGAATAGCGTTTTTATACTTCATTTCACCTTAAAGGTGCCCTGAGGAAGTTTCTGAGATCGCCTAAATATGGCGATGACTCACTCTAAGCATCCTACAAATCCATAAATCCTAACGATGTGCGGCCGATTTCCCTATTAAAGAAAGCAATCAAAGATCGAAATTATCTCCGGCGATGGAAGGAGCATTGTACCGACAGCCAGGACGGCATGTGACCAATGAAAACGAGACATTTCGTTGAGACTGCTAACGTTGTTATTACAAAACGTGTATGTTTTTTTTTTGTAGATGATAGATAGAAGCAAGTAGGAGTAGTGGAAAAAATACTAATTTTTCGCGGAGAGAGAACATAATTCTGCAAGAATCGTCTAAAAAACAACTGTGTGTGTGTGCGTGCGTGTGTGTGTGTGCGCGCGTGTGTGTGTGTGTGCGCGCGCGTGCGCGTGTGTGTGCGTCGGTGCGTGTGTGTGTGTGTTTTCTTTTTTGCTTTTTTTTTTTTTTTTGCTTTTTCCCATCCGCGGGAGTACAGTCCCGTCGTCAGCTCACGAGCGCTCAAGCGTGCGGTCGCTGGGTTGAATCGTGTAGTCCGGGATCCATGGGCAACTAGCCGCGCGCATTCGAGATATCACTCCGCGGTTCCAACGGTCGAAGGCTTGAGGATCCTTCGCTCGCTATTTGCTTGCGGTGGTCCCGGTTTCGAAACATTCTCCACCCATCGCCAGATATCAACTCGGTGTGTTTCAATCTTCGATTGCTTTTTTAATAGGGAAATCGGCTGCGTATCGTCATGATATATGGGTTTGTAGGATGGTTAGAGCTAGCGGAGTGAGCAATCGCCATATTTAGGCGATCTCAGAAACCTCCTCAGGGCATCTTAAAGTCCAGACGCAGAAGATGCTACGAGCTGATGGGACCAATCAGACAACTTCAAAAGCGCACAATCATGCTGTTCGCCATGTTTCTGTACGTGTTCTATCATCGCTGAACCAATCATAAACAGAAAAGGTCCAGCGACCTGCGCTTTCGACGTGGCTTGATTGGTCCCATTAGCTCGTAGTATCGGCTGCGTCTACGAGCTAATGGGACCCCTAGTCCATTATAATATGGAAATATCCGAAGGTGGGTGGGACCCCTAGTCCAGGGCTCCAGTGCTGGCCGCTGCTGCCTTGGCCCGCTCAACCAGACTACGCTGGTCGTCCGGGTGCGAGCTGAGCAACGCAGCTTCCCAAGTCTCCGGGGAAGGGGAGGAGATGGGGGGAAGGGATGGGTGGGATTGGCAGGCCCACGTGACGTGGTATAAGGAGGGGTACCCTGAGCAATGTGGGCAGCTAGCAGGGTACATAGTGGGATAAAACTTGTGGAGGAGGGCGAGGTGTCTGTAGGTGTGGGATTGGAGTTGGCGCCAGATCACGGCCTCTTCCCGCGTTAGGCTCCGATGTGGAGGGGGGTATCTAAATCTCTCGCCTCGTTGATGAATTAGGATTTCAGAGTATTGGTTGGGTACGGGAATAAATTTGAGAATTGTGTTGTGGTCCTCTGTTTGTGGCACCCGGTGTGTACAGGCTCGGGCTACGGCATGGGCTTGCCGATTTCCATCTACAGATTCATGGCCAGGAGTCCAGATAAGCGTCGTTTCTGGAAGCGGGGTTTTGAGGTCTGTTAAGATGCGCAGAGCGCATGGTGAGATCCTGCCCGCTCGGAATCGTCGCAGGGCGGTTTGGGAATCGGAGAGGATATTGAGGTATTCCTTGCCGGAGGCGATTGCCAGGGCGATGGCCGTTTCTTCTGCCTCCACTGGATTGATAGTGCGGATGGAGGCCGTAACTACCGTCTTTAGATCGTGGTCTATCACGCTGACTGCGGCCGCTGGTTGATCCGAGTACATGGCAGCGTCAGTAAAACGGGTGTCTGCCTTGCTGCTATATTTGTGTTGGAGGGCCCGAGCTCGGGCAATGCGGCGGCCGGAGTGAAGGATGGGATGCATGTTCTTGGGGATCGGGGCCACTTGAATGTGGTCTCGTATGGCCGTTGGTAGGCGAACCGTGTTCCGCACCGAGCTGGGTATCGGGAAGTGTAAGTTATGGAGGACTGTGCGGCCGGTGGGGGTGAGGGCCAGCCGTTCTTGCTGGCTGGCTAGGTGTGCCTGTATGAGCTCTTGAAGGGTGTTATGTACGCCCATGGCTAGGAGCTTATCTGTGGCGGCGTAAAGTGGCAGGCCCAGAGCAATCTTGAAGGCTTTGCGGATAAGGATATTTATTCTGTTCTTCTCACCCTGGTTTAAGTTGAGGTATGGGATGGAATAGGTGATGCGGCTGGTGATGAGAGCCTGGGTGAGCTGGATCACGTCGGTCTCCTTGAGCCCGTGTTTGCGGTTTGTGATGCGTCCCACCATGCGCATGATTTGGGTGACTGTTTTTTGGAGGGTTTGTATGGTGTAGTTTGCCCTACCGTCTGCCTGCAGATGGAGGCCAAGTACCCGGAGCCTTGGCACCGTCGGGATGGGGATGCTGCCATCAAGGTAGAGTTCGATATTGCTATTCTGGTCGGGGTGCCGCTTGTTTCGGCGATGCAGGAGGAGTAGCTCTGATTTCTCGGCCGAGCATTGCAAGTTGCCCGAAGTAAGATATCGTTGGACGGTGTCTACCGCGGTTTGTAGTGCGTCTTGTTTGGAGCCCTCCGACCCCGAGGTGGTCCAAATGGTGAGATCGTCTGCGTATAGGGTGTGTCTGATGTGCGGGATTTCCTCCAACTGTTCGGGCAGCTTGCGCATGGCCAGATTGAACAGTGTGGGGGAGAGAACGGAGCCCTGTGGGGTGCCCTTGTTGGGGACGGGTAGAGGGTCCGTTCGGATGGAATCTATGCCAATGGTCGCTGTGCGGTTGCCAAGGAAGTTACATATGTAGTTGTAAGTCTTCTCTCCGCAGTCTGTGGAGGCTAGGTTCTGAAGAATTAGGGTGTGGCTGACGTTATCGAAAGCTCCTTTAATGTCTAGAGCGAGGAGAGCTTGGGTGCTGCAGGAGGATATATTATCTATGAGGTCTTCTTTGAGTTGTAGAAGCACGTCTTGAGCGGACAGGTGGGCTCTGAATCCAAACATGGTGTGTGGGAAGGCTTCTGTGTCTTCGAGGAAGGGCTGTAGACGGTTAAGCACAACGTGCTCGAACAGTTTCCCGAGACATGATGTAAGGGAGATAGGCCGTAGGTTGTTCAGGCTGGGTGGTTTGCCGGGCTTTGGGATTAGAACAATCTCAGCATGTTTCCAGTCTTCCGGGAGTTTGTGGGTTTCCCAGATCTGGTTGAAGTACGTGGTGAGGTCTTCAAGAGAGTCAGGATCGAGGTTGCGAAGGAGGCGGTTCTGGATTCCATCTTTACCAGGGGCCGTGTTTCTCGTGAGGGTAAGCACAGCATGGGTGATCTCCGTTGTCGTGAAAGGTCTGTCCAGGTCGGGATTGGCGGACCCCCTGTAGTTGGGGTAGTCTGTGTTGATCGCTGGGCCAATGTATCTCTCGGTGAGGTCCCGAAGAATATCAGCGTTCGTGCCGGGGTGATCGTGGATTATTTTACGGAGCATCTGGCTTGAGTGCCGTTTGCCTTTGGTGGGATCGAGCAGGTGCCGCAGGAAGGACCACGTGCGCGCGGTGCTCAACGTGCCCTGAAACCTGTCACACACCTGGTGCCAGTTGGATTGCGCTAATTTGGAGGCATATTGGAACGCCTCCTCTGTCAGTGTAGCAATTTTTAATTTAAGTTTGCGGTTAAGCCTTTGGCGGCGCCATCGTTTAAGGAGGCCTCGCCTGGCCTCCCAGAGATGGAGAAGGTATGGATCTACTGCTGGGGTATCTGGGGTGAGGGTAAGTAATTTTGTGTGTTCTTTAGCGTCCACGCATAGTTGCTGGAGCCAAGATTCGAAGTCTGGAGGTGAGGGGGAGTTTTTGTCCTTTCGCGCTTTTCGGAAGGCGTCCCAGTCAGTAAGCGCCTGCTTCCGAAGGGCTTTTCTTTGCGAATTGAGAGCGATTTCAATTTCAATTATGGAATGATCACTCCCGAGGGTTTCCTCTGTGTTCGTCCATTCCGCGTGAGGGGTGAATTTTACGAAGGCGAGATCGGGACAAGTGTCCCTTGTGATGCTGTTTCCTGTTCGCGTCGGGCAAGAGGGATCGGTAAGGGTGGTGAGCTGATGTTGACATATCGTTTCGTATAGCCGATTTCCCTTGGCCGTGGCCTTGGGATAGCCCCAAGCCTGATGTGGGGCGTTGAAATCGCCAACAATGAGAAGATTTTGTTGGGATAAGGTTAAAGCACTCGAGAATATGCGTTCAAATGCGTCTTTACGGTGACTGGGAGGGCTGTATATATTAAGTACGAAAAGACTGGGGGAATGCCTGCGCGTGGGGAGGAGTTCAACTAGAACGTGTCCAATTGAGGTCCCTGCAATGGTGTGTTGCTTAGCCGTGATGTGGTTAGCAATTAGCGTGGCCACCTGCGGATGGTCTGGGGAGGTAAAGGCTTGGTAGCCTGCTAGGGTGGGGATGATACCAGTTTCCTGCAGGGCAAGCACTTCTGGAGGGAATTTCTGATGGGCAATGTGCTGCGCAAGAGCAGCGCGTTTCCTGCGGTACCCTCGACAGTTCCATTGCCACACCCGAGTTGGGTTACAACTCGGTGGGCGTCGTGCCGTCATCGTGAGGCAGGGATAGTGGGGGGTATGGTTGGCAGCGTGTTTCTATCCGCCTATTTTTGCGGGTGGTGTAGAAATCCCGGTTGGCTTCTTTTAAGTCATGAATGTCGGCCTGGATTTGGTCGAATTTTTGGTTGTGGGCGCGGATGTTATCTGTAACCTCTTTAAGGGTGTGGCAGATTGTTTCTGCGGAAGGGATACTCGTAGTAACGGGGGCAGCAGGATCAGTGTCTCGCCGCTCCTGCGCAGTAATGCGCTCCTCCATGCGAGTGAGGCGCTCCATGATTTGGAGGAGGAGATTTTCTACCCTCTCTTGCCGCGCATCAGCTAGGGGGATTGTTGTGAGTGCCGCGGGAAGGGGGGGTAATGGGCTGGTGGTTGGGGGCAAGGTCTGAGACCCGGTGAGCCGCGTCGCCCAGCTCACCTGCTGCGTGTCGGTGTAGGGCTCCGTTCGGGAGTTGTCCGATTGAAGAGCCTGGCCACTGGTGGCTTCCTGCTTGGCGGATGCTCCCGCCGGTGTCTGTTTGGGCCCGGGCAGGTTTCCCCGAGGTTGCTGGCCAGGACGGGAATTTGTGCGAGAGGCCGGGCGGGATTGGGAGCGGGTCTGGTTCTGTTGTCGCCTGCTGTTGCTGCGGTCACGGCCTGTGTTGCCGTGTCCTCCCCTCCTACTTGGGCGGCTGACGCGCTGAGTTGCTCGGGGTTTGGCAAACCGCTGCGGACAGCTTGTATCATTGGTGGGATGGTCGCCGTGGCACTGGGTGCACTTCGGGGCGCACACATGGTCGGTTGGGGGGTTGGGTACTGCACACTTGAGGCATATTTTTATGTGCGGCGTGGGGCAGACGTCGGCCCGATGCCCCGCCACCAGACATTTAGTGCAAACCTGTCTGATGGGCCGGTAGGGGAAGCAGCGCTGAAGCGCGCTCTGGTACTGGACGTACGGGGGGATTTTGCGTCCCTCAAACGTGACGAGGGCCGTGCCAGTGTTGCCCAGTAGACGGGCATGCAGGATCCTGTATCCTGGGGCCTCTAGGTGATGGAGGAGTTTTTCGGGGCTGGACCCCGGTTCGATGTCGTGGACTACCCCTTTGATGGAGTTGTCCGGGGAGGCCACGTACGTGTATGTTGGGTAGTCCTTCCCGCCAAGTCGTAGGTGGTGGATCTGGGTGATGGCTTGAACGACCTCTATGTGGGCCGTGCTTACTATCACGATGTTGCGGTCGTGATTGAGTTGGAGTTTGGTTGCAGCGTGTAGTTCCTCGATGGTGATCTTAGCCTCCGTGCTGATGTGTTGGGCAACCTGGTACGGTTTCCAATTGGAGAGGTTGAGGCCGTCTCGCGGGCGCATGACGACTTTGAATTCTCCCCTCGGCAGCGGGGGTAGGCGCTGAGGTTTTTTCTGTGGACGGGGTATCGGTGGGCTGGGCTGTAGGGGATTGCCGGTGGTGAGATCCACTTCAGCGGTTGGAATCGCTCTCAACTTGTGCCCGCGGTAGTAGGCTGTGAACCAGCCGTCGCTACGGGTATTGGTGGAATCTTCTGCCGTGGTAGTTTCCATGTCAGTTAGGGAGGTTTCTGGCGTTGACGAAGCCATCGTGGTTGTAGTTCAGGCCGGGACGCTCGCTGCGGCGCTGCGAAAATGGAGCGCTGCCGGCGCGGAGGTGGCTCTCATTCCAAGAGCTCTGAGATTCGGTGGGCTTAGTGCGGCGAGGCCACACTCGGAGATGAAGAACGTCCAAAAAGTAGGTTTCCGGGCCGCTCACTTGGTCGATGATGGTATTGGCAGGACCGGAACGGTGAGAGGTGTTAATTTATTATATCTTCAGGAGAGACCCATGAGATGGACCGGGTTACTGAGAGAAGAACTCGCGGGGGCCTGTGTGGGATTTTTCCACTGGATCCGACCGTCGTCTTCTTTTCTTCTCGGCCGCGTCTGGACGAAGTATAGACTCCGAGCGTCGTGTTCAGCAGGGATAGCAAAACGCCATGTTTCCGCCAAGCAACAAACAATTATTATTGTAGGCTTTTATGTAACAGCCCTGTGTAAGGTTTCTGGTGGAAGAAAGCCCACCCTCGTGTTTTATACAAATAAGTAGCGAGAACCTTTGCCGTGCTGACTGGCATGATGCTGACCCTGAAGGCTGCAGAAGCTGCGGAATGAACTAACTAAAAGATGCCACACTATTCCTAAATTTTGGCCCTGAGGCTGCAGAAGTTGCAGAATTAACTAGCTGAAAGATGCCTGAGGGCTGCTGAAGTTGCAGAATAAACTAACTAAAAAATGCCATACTACACGCTAAAAAAAGCCCGGCGTCTACTTTTCCGCACAGCACTCGGAGAGCCAATCACCGCAGCTTACGGAAGCAGCTCAGCGAATGACGATGCCGAAACATATGTTTAGACAAAAAAAACGCAGTCTGAGTTGTGACATTAAGCAATGCAAGCGTGACGTTTTGCATTGCTTAAAGGGCCTCTGACACGCCCCCCCCCCCCCCCCCCCCGCATTTTTTTTTTCATGCTCAGCGTTAAAATGGTGTATCAGGATATCACGAAAAACTTTTTCACTTTAGAGTTACGTAGTTCTTTTTTTATAAAAAAAAAGACAAATTTGAAGCCAATTTAAAGTGCCCGGCAATTCCTTGTGACGTAACAATATACCGCAAGATGTCGGGGCAGTCAGAAGGGAGGCATCGCCGGAAGTCACGTGAGTTGTATCACTCCTCGTGCTTACCGCGACCGCGTGTAATATTCCTTTTTTATATTTTTGTTATTCTCCGCACCTCCGCAAACAATACAAGCATACATGGTTTATTTTATATGCTTTTCATCGCCTAATGTTGCTGTAACGGTAGAAGATGAGTCAGTAAACCTAGTAAACAAGTTCTGCTCATGTTCTAGACAAAAAAAAAGTACTTTATCCTCAACGTTCACTTGTACTTGGTACACTAACCAGTTCGTATTCTCTAGACGGCAAACATCTTCAGCCTGGAGAGTATCCGATGATTCGACGACCTCAGTGTCTGAACCTTCAGCAATGCGATCGGGCTTGTCGTATGCTACCAATCCTAATTTCTACAAGCGTTCTATTTGTTTATTTCGTTTCAAAACTCGATAGCTTGTTTGTGCCCAGTATGGCTCTGTACTATCGGACTGATGGCATGCACTCGTACACTGGCTTGTACTTGCAACGCTTTGATCATTGACCTTCATCACGTCGATCTATATATACTGACTCTTCGTCCTCAGCTTTTACAGCACGCAAACTAACCAACGGTGCAGTGATAAAAAGCTAGTGGAACTGAAACTTCGTTTTCTACAATCGCTCGAGGAGAAGTCGAAAAGAAGAAAACAAGAGTCTCAGGCACGGTCGTGGGGAGCACGGGGACGCCTCTTTCGAAGGTCGATACGGGGCAGAGCAAAAGGGCAGGGTATAGCAGTCTGACGTCTGTGACGTCATGCCCGGTTTTCGTAAAAATAGGGATAGTTGTACCTATTTGGTTACCTTGACATCTTCACCCCTTCACTTCTCGCACTCGTCCGTAGTGTGCTCCCAGCTCGTTCCTCCGAAGTCAACACAATTGTCATAGTTAGTAAAAGACGGCCCGTGCCAGTCGTTTGCAAAGCGACGTAGATGGAAACATGTCGCCGCGGCGTTTTTCGCGGCCTCGGAGATGTAGTAGCGAGGTGACGTTAAAAGTTTCAACTACGAGAGTGTCAACAGGAGCCACGCCACGTAAATACTTGTGCACACTCGGAGCGGACGCGTGCGTTTGATCGAAGGGCTTCGGGACCGATCTTTTACGATTACCACTCGATACTGACGTGACACTCGGCAAAGAAAGGTAGGCCCGGCATTGCGTAGCTCCCAGAAACTGGTATAGCTCGACAATGACGTACAGTCATGTCAGAATAAAAATGGCATACTAATAACAAAGTGTACGTACATACCGAGTTGCGAAGGTAATCCATACGGCGTTTATTTGAGCTCCATATCACACAAAACAAGGGATAGAATCGATGAGAGTCCCTTTTCGACGACAGCGTTCGTCACCGCTGCCTCGGAAAACAAGGAGATGACAAAGGAAAGAGATTGATCTCATAACCTAAAATTGAGGTCAGCGATCAAACTATAACACGGGAAGGGTCCACAAGCGTCGCGCGGGCGCGTATTCCATTCAGCAAGCCAGCCTGTCGTGGGCAGACGGTCTTGGCCAAGGATCGTCAGAGCAACGCTGCGCCGAGTCGGAGTGCCGGCTAGGCCTAAATTCTGCCGAGCTCGCTCGGTCGGTGTCATCGTTGCCGTTGTAGCTTTTCCCGGGTGTTCGTGGATCCACCGTTCGTGTTCGTCGTGGCCGGTTTCCAGTCTTCCCTCTTTTTTCTTGCTACTTGAAATCGGGACTCGCGAGAAGAGAACGTAGAAAGATAAATGTCCGTTGGTCGTCGCAACCAAGTAACTGAGCGACGTTGTCGGTCATGTTGATTTTATCGTAGAAAGACGACTCCGGAGCTGCTGTCATACGTATATTTTGGGCGTAAGATCGTTTCGTAAATCTGGCCTCTGTTCTTTAACGCATGGCACTGCAACAATAACACACCGTAACCGCCGCCTCGCCCCGCCCCCAACACTAGACACAAACAACCCACAAAACGTTTAAAAAAAAAGTTATATATTTGTGCTTGTTTTTGCGTTTCCGGCAGTGACGTCATGGACGTCATTGTCTCGTATCGACCTCCGGAAAAGGCGTCCCGGGAGCACTAGGAGTGAACCTCACGTGGCTTCCGGCGAACACAATTTAATGACGTAGGTCGATGCCTCCCTTATGACCACCCCCGACACCTTGCGGTACACTATTACGTTACAGAGCACTGGCGGGCACTTGGAATTTTTTTTGGCGTGTCAGAGGCCCTTTAATGTCACAATTGAGACTGCGTTTTTTGGTCTAAACATATGTTTCGGCATCGTCATTCGCTGAGCTGCCTCCGTAAGTTGCGATGATTTTCTCTTCGAATGTTGTGCGGGAAAGTATACGCGCGGGCTTTTTTTTAGAGTGTATTCCTAAATTTTGACCCTGAAGGCTGCAGAAGTTGCAGAATGAACTAACTAAAAGATGCCATACTATTCCTAAATTTTGCTTTGACACTATTCATGTTGGTTATCGCCAGTATAATCCGCCGCTAAGCTGACAGGGCAGTGAAAGCTATGTCCTGGAAGGACCAATCAATCGCCTGTCTTTTATCGCCTGACCCTGCTTTCTACACGTAGCAGGCACAGACAGCGTGATCACGTTGTGCAAGGCCGACGGTTGGCTGGTCCAACGAGCACGTAATTTCCCCCGCCCCGTCCGCTTAGCGGTAAACAAAGCATAAAATGCATCAGGGAACACTGGCCCGGTGCTGTGAATCAGCGAGTCGTTTCACGCATCATGTATCGGCCGCTCCACATTATCTTGCGTGTCTGTCTGGGTTACGTTCGGTGACTCCTCCTGGATACCATACTCCCTAGTAGATCGACAGCTACGCGTGCCTGATTGATCTTTTAGGGAGTTTTAGTAAATCGTTCCGGAAACTCCGATAACGATACCCGATACTCCGCAGACGCATTTACACATGCATCGTTCCGTCATCGGGAATCGTTATCGGGGGTATCGGAACAATAAAATAAAACTCCCTATTGACTGGCGACTATACCGAGACCAGTTACCAGGCACAGGTGCAGCGTATATCTACGTATGTCCTTGCCGCTTTTCATTCTCGTAAGCACGCAGACTTACACGACCACAAAACACGCACCTCTCACCATATTCAGATCCTGTGGCGTACTGCAATGGAGCCCCACTATAGTCCTCGCTAAACACTTCTCCCTCCGCTTTTTTTAAGTACCCTCTCACGGATAGATGCCCACGTCTTCTAAGTAAACTTTAAAGCGCGAACGGGATTCTATGAAGACCTTACAATGCTGGAATTATGCGAGATTTGTTAGGACCCTCGGCCTAGGGATGAATCTGGGAGATAAACAGAAGAGTAGTATCTTTCCTCCTCTAACAGACCATATGCGAAATGTAGAGCGCCGAGAACTACGTCCGCCATCTTGGTAGCGGCGAGAAAACGAAACCAGTTACCGACCGGCAAAGATTCCATGTAAACATGCGACCGCGCTTCGTGCGAGAGATGCGATGCCAAAGCGTTGCCGCGTTCCGCTGCGGAATAAACTTTCAATTCGTGCCTGACGTGAACGCAAACGTGAACAGGGTTCACAATTTTTTTTCTGACTTTTATTTGTCACTTGAGACGCAGCTTTTGACAAAAATAATCGGTGAAAACGCGAAGAAATATACGGACGTTATCGCACAGCGTGAAGCCATCTATTGAACTGGGCCTATCATCTTTCCAAGAAGTAATACCGAATTTGTTTCTGAACTTTTTTTTTCTTCTTTTATGCGCGTTGTAGTGTCGGCCTGGCGCTTTTCTTGATGCGCAAGCGCCCCAGTGTATGCGGACATCACTAAGGCTGTTAAGCGAAGCAAAAAGATGACAGTTTTAATAATCTACTCCACCAACCACAATTTAAGGTGCGTATGGTTAACAGTGAGCAAC